CTGCCCAAACTAAACCTACGCCCAAATATTCAAGATATAAATCAAGTTCAGATGAAAGATGTAGCTTTGTTTGAGGTCAATGTACACATACACACACACACACACACACACACACACACACACACACACACACACACACACACACACACACACACACACACACACACACACACACACACACACAATGATGGGCTATAAAGAGCCATATGAAGGGTCAGGTGGTCACTGCACATCCTTTATTATAACATGATACGCGGACACATTGCACGTTCTGCAGGGTTTAATGGTGCGGATGGATGTCTGTCTTGTGAGTGTGTCTGAACATTTCCTTGTTATGAAACTGAACACGCTGTCAATGCAGAGGTCAAAATCCGCTTGGGCTTATGCAACTGACTCTGTGTTTATTATCATGCATACAATCATTTAGCAGGCAAGATTTCTGTGCTTCAGTAGCTTGAACAATCTGACATGGTTACAGTAAAAGAGTGTCTCTTTCCAACACATGTAATATTGCCAAAGCCAAATGCAGATTTCATTGTAAAAGTGATGCATTTGGCAACTAAAGATTGCTTTAAGTTTTGTATTACCAAATGAGAGAAAGGCAATAGGAGTCTGGAAATGTGGAAATAATACATCCACAAATATAAACCTTAGCATGTATTTGAATTCACTCATAACAATGATTTTGCCAACACAATAGTTTTTGACCTTTCAAGTCTAAAAATAGCAGATAAATTGGCTATAACTGCCATTGACCCTGAATAGACGGGTAAGTAACCTGATAGCATAACGGTTGACCTGTTAGCTATCACACGGCTCATCTGTCGCAGGCTGCAGCTAAAGTCCAATGTCTTCCCCTGTACTTAGCTCAATGTCCATAATGATAAGAGGGCGCCGGCCAGCGTATCAGCTCTGAGTGATAAGGGCTCCGTGGAGTGTTTACTCTACGGGATTGGTCCAGACTGAGCTCATAGAGAGAACTCTTCAAACAAATTGACAGGCGGAGCTGGCAGGTCAGCCCCATCAGACCATATTCCCGACCACCTTTAGAGCCCCTGGGGCCCTTCTTCTGACAGGCCTGCCAGCGCTCAGACCACAGGATGGGTGGATTAAACATTAACCTGTGTCTGCCTTTTCATATACACACACACACACACGCATACATGCACACACACTGAATGATCATACAAACTTGAGGAAAGAGCTGCGTGTCATGTTGACTAAAATTGCATCGAAAATGTCAAGTTTTTGGATGAGAAAGGTAGGGCAGCAGCATTTTATTTACCTAAGTTGTGATTGGGTTTTCATATTCTATAAACTATACTTACCAACTTTGTATTTAAAAAGCAAATAGTAAAGACTGGAGGCAGTACTACAGACAGACAGTTAGTATGCACACAGCTTATGCCTCCTCTGTCGCCTCTCTTTGCCAAGGTATGTTCTCCCGTACTTGAAAGGACTACTGTGATTTCAATAATGTTTATTTTCCACGCCTTGTTGAGACAAGCCCATACACACCTCTCATGTCTTAGTGTTCTGCCAGCTTTATCTGTGCTTTCTTGTCATCACACTCTCTGCCGAGCATTGTCCTTATCATGGATAAGATCCTTGATGGATTTGGAAAGCATATAAAGCTTAATTGGTTTCCTAAGAGACAAAAGTCCGTCATGGAGGCTGTGTTATAAAACTGGAGCAGATAACATGAAAATGCACTGCTTGGTGAGTTATAACTTCTGAGAGTGTGTTGCTCAAAGGTGCAGGGGATTTAAAGATCATTTTCTTGAAGATCTCAGACGGCTGTGTAAACTAGCGTCACGCTGTTCTGTGTCCTTGCCTGTTGAGAGTGTAGGAGGCCGTCTGTGCTCAGAGCCTGTTTTTCTGCCTCAGCTTAAGAGCAGCTTCACGGCCTGTCTTGTCTAATGTGGGTCTTCACTGCGATGGATGATCAAAACATGGGGGGCTGGGTGCACATGCTTAGCAACTGTGCAGAAATCCATCGGACAGTATGGATTATGTATGACCCACTCCTACATCCGGCCATGTGATTACTAGACTTGCTAATGTTCAAGTTCTATAATGGGGTTTATTGATTTTGATGATGAGATACTCATTTCCAATCGTTCTACGCTTTCTTTACGTGCCCGCCCTTTGCCGCCGATTTCAAAGCGTGATCCGTGTGTCGGCATTGCAGTGGCATTGTCATGACGACCTTGGTTAGTGGTCTTTTGTCATTGTAACCCCCCCGCTCACCCCCTTTTGGGCCCTAACTCCCGCCCCAAACGACACAAACACGTATGACCTTGCTCATCTTCCTCTCAGTGTGTGAGCAGGGTTGGTTGAGTGAACACAACAGAGGTCTTGACCTTAAAGACAAAGGCTTGCTGTTACCGTAGGAACTGTTGTTTCCTTCTCTCTCTATCTCACTAGCTCACTCTGTCTCTCTGATAAAGACCTTGTACTATAGCTAAACAGGCATTCCTCTCCAGCCTGTGTCTCTGTCTCAATCCACAAGACCTCCGCAGCTTGCAGCTAAGCAGATCTCTGTGTTGACTTTGTCTTTTTGTATGTTGGTGGCAAAACAACTTTGTACACTTTATAGCTGCTGGTAGGGGGTCATGAGTTCAGGGAAGGACTTGTGTCGTATGTTATTTGAATAGCAAGGCATGCATGCAGTTTGTGTTTTTGTAAGTCCAAATGTATCTCTTACCACTTGATCATACCGTTCCCTATGCAAATGGAGGTTAGGCAGACTGTAGCCAAGAAGCTTCTGTATTGTACTCTTGCAGCGCGGTTATGATGAGACAGTGCTGAATGAAGTGAGTGTACGTAACAGGATGTCCTCTAAGGGAAGTCCTGAGGGTCAGGAGCTAGAGGCTGAATGCTAAAGAGGTTTGCTTTAGAGCTAACACTGCCTCCATTCAGAATTCAAAGTGTATTGAGGAGTGAGTAGCTCAGTAAAGCGGTCTGCTCACATGCCAGGCTCCTTTTCATGTAGTGTTTTTGAACCGGTGGGAATCTTCATGTTCTTTACTATTAGATTCACTTTAGTTCACCCAGGCTGTGATGCTTGATGATTGTGGTACCTTTCCATATTTCTGGACCCTGTTTTGAACATGGAAAGGATAACTGGTTAAAAAAAAATGCTGCCTTTACCACTTGCTCTGTTGTCTTTTCCAAAGGCTCCAGCCCTTAGATATTAACATGTCGCATTTTTTAAATTCTTGACCTCCATGTGTCAGAACATGCATACCAAGATACCATCAAGTTCCCTTTTTAATATATTGCTAAAGCTGAAGTGTGCTAAAACATGTGTTTTCAGTTTAGCAGCAGCTACACTGACCACCTCTGCCATACAATAAACGACTACACTTTGCCTCTGAACAACTCAGAGTTGTTTTAGACAATGTGCTCCAAAGGATGGCCCACCATTTATCCATCTCCATCAATGTTATACAATGTGATAGAATTTGAGCCAGGTCTTGTTGCTGTGCTGTTATATTTATTACATGTTTGTCTATGTTTTAGTAATTGGTCTTGTTTGGTTATGCTAGCCATCTGCTAACTCTGGAAGTAGTATGGACCTTTGAGGGTTCTTCCTCCTTCTTGAAGGGTTTACATGTAAATGAGCTATACTGTACTTTCAACCATGCTTCAATATGATCTATACTTTATGTTGCTTCTTCATTGAATACCATTCACGTCTGTCTGTCATCAGATCGTTAAAATAGACTCAAGGGGAGCTCTGACGGCAGAAACATTTTAAGCATGCACACGGCCTCTCCTTTTAACAGCGTACTGTACATTGCACAGTGCGGGGTAAGTTAAGGTTAAACCAAAGGCAGTCATGTGCAGAGGTGTGGATTGGCTGAGAAAAACCAGCAGCTGCTCTCTGGTAGTGAAGGGCTATTGTATCTCATACCCGCACCCCCCACCTACTGTATAACCCCCACCTCCCCCTCGTTTGAAGTTCTTAGTGGGGCCTGATGGAAAGGGCTTACTGAAGATTGACCCACTTTACATGCAGATCTATGAAGTTCTTACGTGATGTAAGGTGCATTCCCTCTGCTAGTCTTGAGCTTAGCCAACATGATCCTCCCAGTTCCCACCTTGCAATTCAGCAAAATCTCATAAATGTACCGCAGAAGCCGTTCAGTCATATGTCTTCTAGCCTAGTGACCTACATTCATCCCTCCAAATGTCCGCGTGCACTCACCCTCTGTCTCTCTGTCCTCTGTCTTTCTCTTTCTGCAGTACTGAAAGGTGAACAAGGATAAGGTTACTGTATTTGGAGTTAATAGCTCAGGAGCAGAGAGGCCTGTGTTTGGTTATACGATACTCCGTGTCCTTCATTGCCCTACTGTCTGCTGATCCACTACAGTATATCAACATTCAGCACATGTTAGCGTGGATGGCTGCGGGTTGCATCGGCACTATTCATTTATTGTATATGCTGTGTTGATTCACATTTTGGGGAAAAAATACAATATTACTCTTTGGTGTTGATGATGGAAATCATTAGTTTTTAACCATGCTAGTGGCTCCAATGTATGGATGGCAATGGTCAGTTGGTCAACTGTTTTGATTTCTCAAATTCGGCCCACAGGATTTATCCCGACAACTTTGGTGGCCAACTTTTCAATTATCTAGTAAATGATCCCAACATCTATTCAATGGATTGGCAAAACAATTGGTAAAACCATTCATGGTTGCCAGATGATGTATCCTAATGGCCATTTACATCACTTTTGGTTTTTATTTGTCCGATAATTCAAACTTTGCCTTTATTTAAGTCTAGACTACCTGCATGTCACATGGGACATGCATTTTGTTCATCACTAGTTACCAAATGAGCATGCTAATACGCAAAACTATGATGGTAAACAATATCATGTTGATATTCTCATTGTTAGCATGGTAGTATGCAGACACCCAGTCTTTCATATCAACTCATTGACCTCTTTGTCTTCCCCCTCCACCCTCCACCCTCCCCTTGTCTCCAGTCTGATGAGTGAGAGTGCCGGCAGCCTGCTCCTCCACCGCGATGGTCGACATGGAGAGCCACTACCATCCCCCTTCCCCCCTGGAGGACTCGGTGCTGGGCAGCCCTCTCTGCGCCGATGACGACTTCCTGGGCGGCATGGAGGAGCTCCAGGACATCTCCCAGTCCATGGACAACGACCCCCTCAGCTCCTTTGATGTCCCCGAATACCAGTCCTCCAGCAATGGCTCTGAAGGTTCCACTGTTCTAGGTGAAGACTCATTATCATTTGAATTTAAGTGATTCCTTAAATTATTAATAATATGGTTTTCTGACAATGTGGCAGAGGTGTGGACTCGAGTCACATGACTTGGACTCGAGTCAGACTCGAGTCACCAATTTGATGACTTTGGACTCGACTTGACAAAATCACAAAACACTTGCGACTCGACTTGGACTTGAACACCAATGACTCGGGACTTGACTTGGACTTGAGCCTTCTGACTTGAGGTGACTTGATAATTAAATTCAGGGGTCTCCAACACGCCGATCGCGAGCTGCCGTTAGGAGAGCAGAATCTTCAGCCGCTGCAACTCTTGCTGAGAATCCATGCAGGCAGGGGCGGGACTTTATTTTGCTGAGCCACCATGCGGCCAATCATATGCGAGGACACACTAGCATCATACCATTATGTGAAAGAAGGGTGGGGGGCAGACGCTCCAAAGACAGCAGGTGTAGTGGTACAGGCCAGCTACAGAGCCACGGGGAGACGGGGAGCCGGATTTAAATGCAAGCACGTCGGAAAAAGTCAAGAAATTTGCGAAAAAACGAAAAAAGAAGCAGCATCTGGCTGCATGTCAATGATATTGGAGAAAGCAAAGCTGAGTGTAGGATTTGTAAAATGAAAATAACCTTCAGAGCAGGGGTTTTTTTTTGGTAACCACTCAGGATTTATTGTCAGAGGTGGGAGAAGTTCAGATCTTGTACTTGAGTAAAAGTACCAGAGTGTAGGAATACTCGGTTACAATAAAAGATCCTGCATTCAAAATGTTACAAGTAAAAGTAGAAAAGTATTATCATCAAAATATACTTAAAGTACCACCTGCAGAGGGATCTAGATTCAGGTGTTCTTTTCCCCATAGAGACGCCTCGCTGCACATTATCCCTTGCATAAAGATAGATTGTGGGTCCCAACATGTACACAGTGGAAATAAACATTCTGGTTACCTCAACATCAGCGCTCTTATGCATTGAACTCCTTCTGAATCAAACCGTCACGGTAGCCTTACCTTACTGATCCCTCTTAAAATAGAAAAAAACACGTTACTTTACCAGCAGAGAGAAAATGGATTATTAAATGATTAATGTGACTAATAAAGAGCAGTTTGATTATTAAGTATTATTCTGTTGATCGATGTCATTACATTTGTTGAAAAGCACATAATGACTTGTTTAAGACTCGTTTTGTCAAAGTTTAGGACTTGGACTTGACTTGAACTTGCCCATCCTGACTTGAGACTTGACTTGGACTTGAGCGCAAAGACTTGAGACTTGACTCGGACTTGAGCGCAAAGACTTGAGACTTGACTCGGACTTGCAAAACAATGACTTGGTCCCACCTCTGCAATGTGGTGCTTGCTACATTCAGGATTTGTACACAGTTCCAATGTGTCTGCTGCAGCTCATTGTAATCTCCTTGCGACTGTTGTTGTTGTCAGATCAGGGTTCCTCGTTAACCCCCCTTAATCCTCTATTTGCTCCAACTGAATCTTCAGAAAGGACCCACCCTTTGGCTAATCGAACCTCCTGCCCTGACCAAAAGCAAAGATGCCTTACAACCCTTTGACAGCCCTTTATTTTCACAGGTTTTCTTTAGCCTAACGCCTAACCCTTTGGGCAATACCCCTTAGACCTAATTGTTTTCTCCTGTCTCTAGGGTCTTGTGGCATTTTCCAACCCATTTTATGCTAATGTATTTCCTTATTTATTCTTTTATCCCTCGTCTTATGTTCTGTACTCCCCTGTTTTACCCCTGTGTCCTCTGCTGGCCTTTCTACTTGCCCCATATCCAATGAGGAATTCACACATTCCTCAGCAGCCATGCACCACCTCTCAGGAAACATCCGTTTTGCTGCTGTTTGTCTTCTTGAATAAAAGTCACATGGGCATCTGAGTAATGTATGCTGCTACCTAATTATTCAACAAGCGGGGGAGAAGTGAAGAATCGAGAAAGATAAACATTTAATAGGATAATAATGGGTGTGAGTGAGGGAGAAGGAAAGCGTGGGATGGCTAAAAGGCATCAGGGAAACGTGATGATGTCATGGAAAAGTCAGTGAAAGCATGTTCAGGATTTATGGATGTTTAGGATTTTAGTGTGAGACAGGAACAGAACAATCACTGACATACCTTTCTTGTCAACTCTCTGTTGAAACGTGCACCACTCAGAAACACAGCTTCAGGTCTGCTGCCAAATTCTGCTGATCCCCTCTCTGGCTTCTCTGACCAACTCATGTGGCCTGACTTAGTGCCACTGTTTTTTTGTACCATTTCATCTTTGCTATTTTTGTAGCAAACAAGTTCTACCAACCATGTTCCCTTCACTAGATGGAAAAAGAAAACTGTTGGCAACCTACGACCTGCTTTTCACGAGGAAGATCAGTAGTACTACCCCACCACTGTAATGCCTGTGACAAGCTTCCAACCACAGATGGCTTGCTAATATCTCTGAGTAAATAGTTGTTATGGAACAGACTTTGCAAGAGGTCAAGCTGCAGTTTAAATTCCACTAGTTCTTTGCAGAAGGGAGGTGAGACAGAGATGCATCTACTAAGGTACTAGTAGTGGTGATTTATAATTTGACTTACATTTTCTCAATATGACGCAACTTTGTGTCTAATGTGGAAAAGATAAACATGTACCCTATGTACTGCAGGCTGTAACAAAGTATGATAACCTTGTCAATTGTTTCAATGCTATAAAGAACACTTCTCTCAGTTTTCGATACAAGTTACGCAAATATACAGTTCTTTCATTCTCTAAACACCTGATCATGATAATGATTATAGGTCTACAGCAACAATGGAACTTGTACCTTTTAAAGTCTGTGAGTGTTCCCACTTTCAGATGGCCAAACTAGTTGAGAAGGTCTGTGCACAAAAATGAGCCTTTCCTCTAAAACAAGCTCCAAGGTGCTTTTTCCCTTCTGCCATGCACAGATTAGAAGAAAATATCTGTTTGTTGATTTCTCTGCCGAACTAAAAAACTATAAAAAATCTTAGATAATCATAATTTAGAGAAATGGCAATATTTAAAATGTATATGATTTGAAGTTCATTTATCACAGAGTGTTTCCGGCAGCACGAGGGTGTATGAGTTCAGTGGCTTAAGGTTGTTTTGCTATTTAGAGTTAATTTAATCAGTTATTTCCTTTGTGTTTTGTAGATGCCCTGACGCCAGCATCCAGCCCGTCGTCCATTGTTTACGGGGTGGCAGCGGGCCAGGAAGAGTTCTCATCGTCCTCCTCATCGCTCAATCTGGAGTGTCGGGTCTGTGCTGACCGAGCCTCGGGCTATCACTACGGAGTCCACGCCTGCGAGGGCTGCAAGGTGAGGCGGCATTACACACATGAATCACACAGCCAAACAAGGGATGCTGTCTTTGTATTTGATGTTAGACATTGGTGAAAACCAGACAAATGTTGGGTTTAGGACTGTTGGACTTAATGTTGTTCAAAATTATTATTGTGAAGATTGAATCTTTGGGTCAGTCATCGTACATGCATCTGCCTTAACCTGTGCCTTTTGTCTCCTAACCCCAAACTGTGTATTACTTACATTACATGTTACTTGTTAGACGCTTTTATCCAAAGCTACTTACATACTCAATACTGTGGACAATCCCCACAGGAGCAATTTGGGGTGAAGTGTCCCCAAATGTGCCCAGGGACACAACGACATGCTGACTGCAGTGGGGTTTGAACCTGTGCTCCCCTGATCCGAACACCAATGCACGATTCCACTGCGCCACACGCCTCCCTTACTAATACTTTCCCTCCTTTGGTCAATATTTCTGTCAATATCCATCAATCGCTTCCTCCTAAAGTCACCCAAACTCAAGCACAGACAATTTCAAGACACTGAAGAGAGTAGGACATGTCAGACCAGAAATCCAGAGGCACTGTGTCTTGTGACTGATGATAACCCCTAAAGAACCTCCAGGCTTGACCTTTACACAAGGTCGCTCAATAATCTTTCAGTTAATTGTTTACCAGCCATGTTGAAGAAAAACCCAAGGTTGTTTTTTAAGAGGCAGCGAAGGACAAAGATAGTCTAACTTGAGGTGTGTGCGCATGTGTTTTTGAACTTGGTGTATCAGCACAGTTGCTGAAGGGAAAATACTGAAGAGAAAGTAGCTGAAGTGAGAGACTTTTCTACACCTCTGCACTGTGAATCCACTGAGTGCTGCTAGATGTATCAGCTGAGACCGCAGTGGGAGTATTATGGCAGCATGTGATGCATAAACTGAGTAGCTCCATCATGTCAACATGATGTTGCATAAATGTCGGAGCAGCAGCTCCCCGTCTGTGTAGAAGGATTATGTCTTGGTGTTTATGTGATTGTGCGTCAAGGTAGAAGTATCTCCACTAGACAAAGGCCATGGTCGTTCCAAAGGCAGAACAATATGTGACCTATGCAGGGTGAAGTCATAGAGCTGTAAAACAATAGGTTATCACAAAAGTCAAGGTAAAGTTGTTCAGCTGACCTGATTCTACTTTAACCCTGTTTAAGCGTCTTTGGGTTAGAGAAAATAGAAATACCATTTATTATTATTATTATTAAGGCCCACTGTTGTAATTTTACAACATTACTTTAAGCTCTCCTAAAAATGTCTACATTTACATAGTCAAAAGGTCCTTTTGTTCAGCCTCACAATGCTATTGGGTAGTAAATGTGTGTATAGGTCCTGCCCTCTGGCCATTGACTCACACAACTTCCGAATCTTCAAACGAGCAACATCTCTTTGTTTTATTGGACTGGATTTGTCAGATTCAAGTAAGTAAAATGCCTCAAATATATTTTTGTGTGATTATTACAATGTCTAGAACATGTACATATTTAGTTATTGTGGAATACATTCATCACATTTGATTTTGAGCAGCTTATGTCTTTGTTGTAATATTGCAACACTGGGTCAGTGTGGTAGTCAAAATAGCATAAGCACCTGTCATGGAGATTGCCCTTCTTATATGTTCACATATGGAAATAAAACACTAATAGAAATATAATGTCTTTGATAATTCACTATAACTAAGTTCTAAATGTGTCCTCTGTTAAGATTTTGAATTAAGACCAGAATTGAATAAATTAATACATTTCTGATAAAAGTATGTGAAATTATATCTGTAGCAATATTTTAAACTCTACTTGTATCTTATCAGTTAATTAGTTACAAAAATACATTTAACTCTAGTTCTGGCAGAAACAGTTTCTGAAATGTTTTGGGACACTTGGATGTATCCCTTTTAGTATGATAATTAGCCTGTTAGCATTAGCCAGACAGCATTGTGTGACTAGTTGAACTGGTTTACCTGCATGTGTGGGTGTAGGTATTCCTTTTATTATGATAATAGGCTAAGCCAGGTAGTATTGAAGTGTACAATGTAAATAGGATTCAGATACTTGTTGCATCGGGACACCTGGAACGGGGTGGTGCATGCATTCCTTTTATTATGATAATAGGCTAAGCCAGATAGGTTGAACACTTGTAGGGATACGAGGCAAGTCTGAACTTGGATTGTCAGGTGATGTTGTGATGAAGCTTGCCTCCACGCTTCCAGAAGGTCAGAACTACAAGATCTACACAGACAACTACTTCAACTGTGTCCCATTGGTAGTGAAGCTCCTTGATCGTGGGATTCATTATGTGGGAACAGCCAGGCAGGTGCGCTTACCCAACTGTAACCTTGAAGAGGAGAAGAGCTTGAAGAAAAAAGGGAGAGCTCTAAAGATGCCAAAGCAGGAGATCCTGACCAGGAGACCGTTTCAGGCAGATCTAGCATCCTCTCTCATCCTGGTAAGAATTTACATTTCTGCTATTTGCCGTTTGTAATATTTTTTTATATTTCACTGTGATATTTTTGACTCGTATCCTAATGTATTTTTGACATGTATCTTGATTGATTCTGTTCTAATCAGGTGAACACAACTCCTCTGAAAACACCCAAGAGAGGACGACCATCTTCAGGCAACGGGAGCCCAGCACCGACGGTGACATCAAGGAGCCCGTTGAATGCTCAGAAGAGACCATCCTCAGGTGATGGGAGTCCACCAAACGGGCTCCCATCCAAGAGATCACAACCTCCACTGGATGTACGCAAGGACCTAATGGCACATTTTCCAGTGAAGACAAAGAGAGGACGCTGCAGACACTGCAGTAAAGGGTACACAAACACACAATGCACCAAGTGTGACGTCCGTCTGTGCTTTTCTGGCGATAGGAACTGTTTTTGGGACTACCATTGTATTCATATTTAATAAATGACTATTCATAAAAAATATGACTGATGTGTGATTATTATTCATGCTATATACTGATATAGGGCTAAGTAAGCAATCAATCCTTCAAATCAACCCTTAGTTGTTCAATATTTATTCAGACAATGCGAGTAGAAATACAGGAATTCTGCTCCCACCTAAGCCCAACGTTGCAATATTACAACATTTCCCTGAAAACTCTTTCATTTCTGCTCCAGGCTACCTACAACAACATCTGAAAGGTCAACAAAAAAAAATCTTATGTTTTTCTATATTTGGGCTTTACAGGGTTAAGGAAGGAGTCATTAAAAGTGACCTATGTAGTACCAAATGGTTATTGTAACGCAGCTTCTGCAGAGATCTGCATTTCTGTATGCAGCCTTATCACATTTCAAAGGCTACTACAGAATTGCACCCCTCTTACTTATGTTATTGTTTTTAAGCCTCTATTCCAATGTTGACAGAGATGTTAGAGAAATTGCAGGTAATGGAGGGAGAGAGAGGGAAGAACATGCGATATAGAGTTGTCTGTAGTAGGGAAAATGTAATCACAGCTAATGGTATTTATTCTATGATTCAGGCCACTGTGATGTCCCAAAGCAACCTTTTTTTGACCTCAGTATCCCGTAATATGCTGCTGGGCCTTGAATTCTAGTTTTCGGCTGGTTGTTTACAACTCCTGAAGCTGAAAACATATCTGATGACCATGACAACACCTGCATTTACTAAGGGGTTTTGATTTGTGTGAGAAAATAACAGATTATTGGCACAAACTGATCCTTTTGATGAACCCTGATAACTTGGTTATTTTTTTTACTATATCAAAACAAAATAAGCAACATCATAGGTATAGAGAAAAAACATCAACATGTTTGTTGTAAATGAAACATGAATTACTATAAAAAATAGCTAACCTGCTTCTTTTAACATCTTACATTATTACTCTTATTAGGTCTGATGCCGACCCAACCAACTTCAAAACACTTCAATGTGACAGGTGAAGTTACCAGAATGTATCTAATTGTGTCCACAAATAGGACAAGGACTTCACATACACACACATGCACCCCTCTCTGGTGCATCATTTCCCCCCTGTTATTAGGTGTTGGAACCGTAATAGGAGGAGGCTGACCTCTGTGTTGTTAATACACCGATCCTTCATGACAGAGGACACAAGCCGTGTCGGCAGGACGCCCATTTGGCCTGATCTTCATGTGACTCTTGTTTTATGAGTGTATATGTGTCTGTGCATGTGAGGTTGGAGGTCAGTGGGTGAGATTCAGTCAGAGTTACTTAATATGTGATCACGGGGTTTATGCGAGCCCCACCAACAGCGCTGTGTCCCATTACCACACGGGTAATCTTGATGTTTTATGAGCATTTTTGTGTCCTTCATACTGTGTGAGTGTGTGGGTATTTTGGCACCCTGGGTGATACTTTGGATACAATTGCAAATGAGTGTGAATAAATATGTTATTAAGCAATTCCCCAGAGCATTTTCTACCCTCTAGCCAACTGCACACATGCCACTAAGTCCATCTGTTCCTCACCAACGTTTAATGTTTCTTTTTTTCAAGGTTGTGCAAGTGTGGCCAAAGTGATGGTGAAACTCTGTGTCTGATATTGTCACATTGATACGGAAATAAAAAACTCCTTTGAACTGGTTTGAAAACAGCAGAGGTTATTAAAAGGCAATTTACTTGTCCGTGTTATATTTAAGGTTTTATTAGCTTTCTTTTCAAACAATTTGTCACTTATTGTCTGACTAATCTGGTCTGTGGTGTTCATGTCTCATTTGGTCATATGGAAATAATTGTATCGAATTACATTTTTGCTCCATGTGTCAAATTTAAAAAATGTTTTCCCCTCATTCCTTCAGGGTTTTTTTCGGCGGACCATCCGTCTGAAGCTGGAGTATGACAAGTGTGAGCGCCGCTGCAAAATCCAAAAGAAGAACCGCAACAAGTGCCAATACTGCCGCTTCCAGAAGTGCCTGTCGGTGGGCATGTCCCACAACGGTGAGTCCTACAGAGTGGGTCTGGGTCTGTTTGAAGACCAGCACACACACACACACACACACACACACACACACACACACACACACACACACACACACACACACACACACACACACACACACACACACACACACACACACACACACACAAACACTCCAGCCAATCAATCAGTTAATCCAACAGCCACCAAGTCAGTCAGTCAGTCAGTCAGTCAGTCAGCCTCTGTTTGGGCAGGGTGGAGGCTCCTAGATGGGCCCTTTGTCTGGGCAGAGGAGCCCAGACAATTCATGTTTTTAACTTGTAAACACACAGTGCAGTGCAGATGCCAGGAAAGATTGAACAGGCAAGAACACACATAATTAGCGCAAATAAGAAATCTAGCACCGCAGTTGAGTGTCAGGTTGCATGTTAAAGCAAGCCTCCAACTGAAGACTAATCCAGGCTATAAGTATAAATGTACTAATTCAAACAATTGGACCATCTGTATTTTCCTACTTTAGAAGAAGACCGCTTGAATCTGCAATTCATTCATGTGTCATACACGGTTTTAAGTATGTGCATACTGCAGCTTCGCTGTGCTGGAGTTGTATTGAATTGCAATGGCTGAACCCAGTGAACCCTTTTGTCATTGCAACATTTAAAAAAACAAACTATTAAGAACTTACTTTTAAAATCTCAGTTTTCTTTCCCCCTAGAGTGAACGTAATACTGTAGTAATTCAAAAACGTATCATATCATTTGTGGTTATTATCCAGCACAGGCGTCTACAGTCTGTGTTTCAATCTTGACTGTTTTAGAGAAAACACGCAACATATGAAATCAGCATTGACTTAAAAGCCTTACATAAGCCATACATTATTATATTCATGTTTTCTAGGAATACAGTAATAGTGAGGTCAAAGTTTGAGATCCTGGTGAAGGTTGTTTACTATTCCTACACATCCAACGTGGCATGCTGACCCTTGGTCAAGGTCCTGAACTGATTTTGGGGATTAGGCTACGTGTGTGAATCTCTGTTTGTGTGCTAGTGTATTTTGAGTAGAAGGATCACCAAGGTCAATGCAATCGGTGGGTTTACTTATAGCCTGTGCAAACTTGCAGATATTCCATACTGGTGTCAGTGAACGTGAGGAGCCAGAGGCCGGATTCAGCATCTTCATTTTTGTCCCATGGAGTTATTGACTTGCTGGAAGAAGCTTCTTAAGGCATTGCCCAGATTCTGATGATAATACAGTAATGTCTAAGTTTAAGCTAAATGTGTATTGAGTTTCATTGAATGTAACCGCATAGGGCGGAAGGAGATTTGAGACCGGTGCAACCTGATCTTTTTGGGTCTGTTGTCTAAGTTATAGATTATAGGAATACAGCACAGCTAAGTTTAGAGGTTTGTACTTATGTTTGTATCGACAGACCTTCAATGTAACAGTTTAGGAATCAGGATGGTTTGTTCTTTTCATTTTTACATATTTCAAATCTGTCCAAAATATGTTGATAAGGGGCAATCGTAAAAAGTATGACAGAATGTTAGTTCAATTGTAAAACATTTCTGAAAAGTCTGTGGCTTGCGAGTTGACGCTTTTATCTTCAATTGACTGATTATTCGAATATATGTATGAGTATGTCACATTTTCATTTGTGTTATTGTTAAGAGGCAATCAACATTGTTGCACTGTGATTTCCACAAAATCTTTCTTGGTTTCAAGTTTAATACAACGCTTTATTTTTGTAGAGACTGCTTATAAATGTTGTCCCTTTTTAATGGTGTTGCAACAGCAGTAAAGTGCTTTTATTATCACACTCCAGCACATGTATAAAGCCTCTAATCTCATGTACTGACAAGAAGCATTGCAATAAACACCATTGAATGTTGTGACAAAACAACAGCAATATAATGTAAGTCTTATCGTGGTGTAGCAGGTGTCTCCCTTCACATATGAGCCGTTGAAACAGATGATTTAATGGTATGACAGACTGTCCACCTCCCCACTCCAGTCACAGACTCATCCCCTTACACTAGATCTTAGCAAATGGACTTATGCTCAGCTTAACATCACTCACTTCCTCTCATCGTAATTAGACCTGGCTCCTGCCCAGGCTCTCGCTGTGGAGCTTTACCAGCTTCAGATGATCCATCCACTTTGCGAGCAGTAATCTAATGGGACATCAGTCTGTCTGCTAGCTCAGTATCTCTTCCCCGTTCAGGTCTGCACAGTTAGCTTAGTTTTGTTACGATAGGGGGCGCGGCTCGTTCGGAAAACAAGGTGACTCAGATCCCATTTTATGCTTTTATGGTCTTCTGAATACAGGAAGAAGGTGCAGCTGGATGTTGGGTTCCGAAAGAGCGGTGTGTTTTTCTGCGTACACATCAGATTGTGCCCGTTAAATTGGTCGAGGAGTGGTTAAAAACAGTTCAGCTCTAATCTTATTAGTCAAATGGGATCAGGCCGTCTGAGAGGTGCTGGCATCCTCTTGTAGAAAAACAACTCCTGTCTAGTGTTGAGGCCCACCATAGTACCATAGTAACCTGTTGTGTTCATAATTCCCTGGCTATAATGCACTCAAAAGAAAATGCATGAAAAATCCTACCAAAGCGTTGACACTGGTTAACCCTTTGAAGCAGAGATTTTCATCCCAAAAAAACGTTCATGTTTGTTGATGATAATTATAAAGGATAATAAATCTATTCTGATTTATTTGGACTTACTATTACAATAAAGAAATCCATATAATGTAGGGTTCCTATTGTCCCATCAAGTTCAACTGTGATGACTGAGTGAACCCTATTCTTTGGATTTATCATCGTTTATTAGGATTCCCAGTTGCTCCAGATGGAACCCAGAAAACTATTCATTTGACTTGATTAAAGTGAAATATCAGAATTGAAAATCAGCCAGAAAATCATGGATGCAGTGCACACGTTTTACAGGACAGAACTGACAGTTAGAAAAAATAGCAACCCAGAATATGGTGCTGGGTGGTTTTGGCCAGACTTTGGCACCATGGCTTTGCCAGGTGTTGTTTTTATTGCCCAGAGGACTCATGGAACTATTCTTGGATGCATTCACTGCCAGAGTGAGACTGAAACAGTCAGGTGATGTTTTGGTCGGGTCTATTTGTCCTTGCCTTTTGGCCTCTCTGAAATATTCAGTAAAATCGCTGAGTGTGTGCGTGTAGGTGTAGTGCGTACATCAAGTTTTTGATCAAGTTTGGTGCATGTTTTAAACTTGGTCTGTTCTTGCTCTTATACAGTCATTCTGTCTGTGTTTTTTAAATGTACTGTTTAAATGCATTTTTTGTGTTTTCAAATAAAAAATAAACTTAAATCTTTAATCTGTAGTCTGACTTTCTGTCTGCTTTGCTTACAGCCATCCGTTTCGGTCGGATGCCGCAGTCAGAGAAGCTCAAGCTGAAGGCGGAGATGGTGACGGGGGACCGGGAGGTGCAGGACCCTCAGGTAGCCGACCAGAAGACCCTGGCCCGGCAGATCTACGAGGCCTACCTCAAGAACTTCAACATGAACAAGGCCAAGGCTCGAACAATTCTCACGGGCAAGACCAGCACCCCTGTACGTTGATTAAGAGTAGTGGGTTGGTGAGTGAAAGGTGTTGCATGTGTGGATCGCGTGTTCACGGCTCTTTACCAGAATTTCCTCACAGGTCGAGGTCGTCTTGTCTTGCAACTTTTAATTTATTTCATCCCCATTGGAGGGGTTTAAATCTAATTCTGAGCACATTGAACATTTGCAATCAAACTCGTGTCTCAATATGACCTCAGAGATTATGATCAGCCAGCCAATGACAGAAATAACTTGCTCAACATGTAGTTCAAGCCAATACAAGCTGGACGAGGAAACATCTGTATCAAAGAGCCATCACTTCATCCTTCACTGCCTGGTTCCCTCCATGGCGGCTCTCTATTCATCAACCATCACCCATCCTTAAACATTCCCGAAGCCTTGTTTCTTTCGTTCTCTTTTTACGAGAAAAGAGGGGCTGACGGGGGGAGGGTCATGGAATGCAGCTCAGAGATGTTCTGAATTCTATGAATGGATGTGTGTAGGTGTGAATTAGGTCAAGAGGGACAGGTCAGTCCAAGGGCAGCTCCATGTTCAAACACAGACCGCGCTCACTGCTGCTGCAGATCAAAGCATCTAGATGGATAAGTGTCCTTTTTAGACTACAAAGGGATTCTGGGGTTTGCATCCATTAGAAAGTAGTCAGTTGCAAAGAGACACAGTGTTTGATCCACCCTTTTGATTTGCATGTTCATTCATGGTGTAACGGACCTTTTACGCAACGTACAACTCCCTATAAAGTCATATTGTACCATTTGCCACTACTACAGTATGTGTATAAATCCCAAAACATTTTGATTCTAAAATAGTTTTGAGCAGTATTACTTCAAAGGAGTTGTTGCATCGTGCAATATTTTAAGACTACATTAAGTTATTTTCTGACAATATACAATTGTTCCAACACCATCAAATGGTTAATAACTCTCATGCAAAATCCAACCTCAACTTATTTGCATCTTAACTGAGCCAGATATTTTACCTCAGGTTAGACTCATCAGTCTCAATGTGTGGGAGGAACGATGAGCTATAATTGTGTCACTCTCAGCTTCACTGAATATCAGGTTTATTGTCTGACTTAACTGGTTTTACTGTGGTACGATCCATCTTAACATTACGTACTGTCTTTATGGATGTCTTAAGCTGCCAAAAAAATAAAGCAGCTACAAAAAGCGGTTACTTTCGCCCCAGGGTTACATTGTGCAATATAGACACGTTTTAAAAATGAAACGAGAGATTGACTATTACCAATCGGGCTGCAACCGACGTTTACTTTTCATAATTGATTGACTTTCCAATCATCCTATTGAGTTCTTTGAGTAGGGCTAAATGGATCAATTTAGTTGTGTTGCAGCAGTTAGTCAGGTAAAGTGCTTTCAGTGTAGCACCCGTGACCCCCTTTACAGAATAAACTGTATGAATATTTATAGAATAGACTGACCTACAAACCCCTCTTGAGGTTGTGGCTACACAGTCAAGGAAAGTGATTTTGTCGTCATGGAAATCTTAAGAGTCAACAAGGGCTGTGGGCTTTGTACCTTTCTCCACCTAGTGACATAAAAACACCTGAGGCTTTGTTTATAATAAGATGTCAACTTCGGCTTTTTTGTTTCTGTGAGATCACATATCCTCAATAAAGATAGTGAGAACAAAAAAGTGTTAAGTATATCCATTTAAAAAGTGATTTATTGTACAAGGTTGTTGTGTCATCTGTTACGAGTTATCTCATGATCCAGTGTTGCATTGACGTAGAAGTTCCCTAAAATTAAACTGCTGGGTCTCATGTCGCTCATACCTTTCCTTGTTACACTATAGCCCAGATTTAGCCCTCCAAAGCACACATCCAATGTCATCTGATCCAGGTTTAGCTGCTCCTCATATGTTGTAATTGTCCACTGTTGGAAGACTGACGCAGCTAAAAAAAAAACGATTAGGTAGAATCAAAAGCATCACTGCTAGCCCGGTACACATTAAAAACATTCCTGTGTACCTCTGAAACATTATAATGATGACTAGACTTAAGTTTCAAATGTATTTCCTTCTTGTTTTTTATATATTATGGAGTTTGCCCTTGCAAGCCCTTTTTGCTCTGACACCGTTGGACTTTCAAAACAGCTCTGTTCTCAAATGTCAAGAGATATGATTTGAAGCTAAGTCTTCCTTTGAGTGACGCATAATAATATAGCTGTTGGTTAAAGGAGAGTAATTATGTCATTGTGGAAATATTTGAGTGGCAATAATAGCTCTGGCTAATTAAGCCTCTCCTTTCTGCAAGGATTATGGGTAAACATACACTTTTTCATGTCGTTGAGGTTTGCTGACTCAGCTTTTTCCATATTTATGCAGTCACGTTTATTTATGTGATGTTTTCCAAAATAACAGTACAAACTGAACTGTGTGTGTTTGGCATTTGAACTGGAAACCCATTTTTAACCATACTCTACATGTTTAGGTCATAAAAGTTTCTCTTTTTTCTCCGCAGCCTTTTGTCATCCATGACATGGAGACCCTGCAGTTGGCAGAGCAGACGCTGGTGGCAAAGATGGTGGGCTCAGCTGGACCCCTGAAGGACAGGGAGGCAGAAGTTCGGATTTTCCACTGCTGCCAGTGCACCTCGGTGGAAACCGTCACCGAGCTCACAGAGTTTGCAAAGTCCGTCCCCGGGTTCTCGAGCCTGGACCTCAACGATCAGGTGACTCTTTTGAAATATGGAGTGTACGAGGCCCTCTTCGCCATGCTCGCCTCCAGCATGAACAAGGATGGGCTCCTGGTGGCGTACGGCTCAGGCTTCATCACCCGGGAATTCCTCAAGAGCTTGCGGCGGCCCTTCAGTGACATGATGGAGCCAAAGTTCCAGTTTGCAATGAAGTTTAACGCCATGGAGCTGGACGACAGCGACCTGGCTCTGTTTGTGGCTGTCATCATCTGCTGTGGAGGTAAAGATACAGGAACAATAACATTTACACATAAACAACTCGTTTGCTATTTGGGAAATCAGAAGTTATTTTTCCTTTGGCTCTTTAAGGACTTTTAATCAATCTCAAAGCAAATGCTTCTGTTATACACCCAAGGAATTCTGGTATAATCTTGCCATTGAATTTGTTTATTCCAACAGGAGATTATATTTAAATCGTCTCACTCGAGTCTGTTTTGCTTCCTCTGATCAGACCGCCCAGGCCTGGTGAACGTGAAGCACATCGAGCGGATGCAGGAGAGCATTGTGCAGGTGCTTCAGCTCCATCTGCTGGCCAATCACCCCGACGACTCTTTCCTCTTCCCCAAGATGCTGCAGAAACTGGCCGACCTCCGGCAGCTGGTCACTGAGCACGCTCAGCTGGTACAAGAGATTAAAAAGACAGAGGACACGTCCCTGCACCCGCTCCTGCAGGAGATCTACAGAGACATGTACTGAGGGGTTGTGGAGGAAGAATAACCAGGAGAGGCACTCTACAAATCATCTCCTTTTTTTCAGGGACAGAAGAAGAAGAGTCCTCCGTAAACTAGGTTGAACCACTTAAACCCCCATAATGCAGCAGGAGTAACCTTTGGATTCAAGACGCTGATGATTCTCTTTGTTTGACAAAGTGCTCCTCGCTCCATTGTGTGGCGCTTCATTAGCAGAGAAGATGTGATGTGCAGCTGATTGAGCCCCTATCTAGAAACCAGTGTATGCCATCTCTGACCAAACCCTCAATGCTGATTTGAAGCATTTGAGGTGATCTCCTTGGTTATCCCAATCCTAAACCCTTAACAAAGCCCTAAAATGAGGAAAGAAAGTGAACTTGATAGTCACCACTCCAGCAGTATGCTTGAAATCAGATTTGTATACTGATGTCAAAGAGCCATATACCTTCACAGCTAACAACACCCAAATGACCTTATTGGGCAGCAACACTAAGGCAGTATCAACACATTGTTCAAGCAAGGCAGCTTCTGCCAAATCGGATGTCAATAAAGGTTGGTGATGGTTATCCATGCACCTGCCCCCCACCATTACTCTTCACCTGTTTTATACCCAGAGACACAAATGTGCTGCTCCTGAAAATAAGCATTTATTTGTACTGTAAGCCATACTGTGTTTGTAATGATACTGGAAATGTTTTGGAAATGCATATTATTTTCACTTCCTCACAAGACATCGTCAGGACTTGGTTTGGATCTTCATCACATATTACTCAAGATCCAGGCAACTTCAGATTAAGATAGCAATTTCTTTTTAAGAAATGTTGAAGTTTCTTCGATAATTCAACATGATCATACCAGACCTCTGATAAATGCCTTTCTTACAAAACACATGCACAGACATTTGGCATTGTTTTGTCTCCTGGTATTCAAGGGCTAACACCACGATAAACGGGGTTACAATCTTAGAACTGGCCAAAAAAACGACCTAAAAACAGATTTGATAGAAATGTATTCATCTGATTTTTTATTTCTGAAGCAGTAAAGCACCGTCCCTCATTAATAATGGTATTATTTTGTTTCTCTTCTTCTCATTGTAGTCTTTCTGCCTTTCACTGGCTGTGTTTGGTCCTCATAACATATGCAGTTGGTTAGGATTCAGGGGTCTTACGTGCACATTTTCTATATTATTGCAAAGGAAAAGCACTATACCTTTTTCATTTAAAGGTTTTGTTTAGCTCATGCAGTTTCTCTGGCAAACTGTAGGCAAGACAAACACAGGCATGTTGCCGTCTGCACTTATTCAATTATGTAAGTAAGATAAATGGCTTAAAGATTAGACTTTCTTTTAGCAACACACGTGATTGGTGAAGGATGAAGACCAAATACATTTCCAGAAGATGTTTTTTCTCTATCTATGGCGATAACGGTGCATGTGAAGAGGCCAATCCTGTATGTTGTTGAAATACTGCCTTCGCTACATGCTACATAAAGACCTACAGTAATATATAAATGTAAATCTGAATTTCCTTATCCAAACAAAATCTACTAAAATCATGAAATTATGGAAATTCAATCACCAGAAATGGACCTTGTGCTTATAATGACATCACATTGTATAAACAGAGTGTATTGTATATAGCCGAAATGATCTGCTCTCCCTGACTCATGAGTTATACAAGGTACTATTAATGATGATCAACTTTTGTATTCCTCCGTTTGGTAAATACTTTTAAATGTTTGAAATTTGACAGTTAATGTAGTTATGTACTGTATGTTTTTTTTGCTTAAATGCCACATACTTGTGTTTTAATTGAATTGGATCATATTTTTATACTAAAGTATATATGTATGACTAAATCAGATAATTATGTATTTGAAATGGCACGATTGACGAGTGCATTGTAGATAGACTTAAAGGTAACAGGGCAACTGGTCATCTGAGTATACATAGATCTGAATCCCGTTGGGGACATTCCTTTTGTTAATTGCTATTTTTAGATAGAAAACCATCAAAGCTGCAGTATTGCTTCAGTTCATTTCAACTGTATTTCATTTATTTGTTGAATTAAGCTCTTATGATTTGAAGTGAAAGCATACGTGGGCTGTGCAGGGCTGTAATAGCTCACAGCAGTGGATTAAAACTTGACCTCCATGACCTTTTATCATTTGAAAAATCAAACCACAGCCCAGCACTGATCAGACATTATTGGTCTCCTCTTTTTATACTGTGTTCTCAGGTTGCAAACTCTCATATGTAATATATATTCACAGAATGTTATCATCAGACATCCTCCATAGTTGCCTCCTGTTGTTGAACAAACCATCTATTTGTTTGAACACATCACATCTCTGTGGATTATATAGAGAATGCAGTCATAGTTTGCAACACATTACATGCTTTTACAGTAAAGAAGATGCAGTATGTTTAATAATCCTGTTTTTGTCACACTTTTTGTCTGACTTTCCTCTCCTCCCTCGCTGCTATATTCTACTAACTCACCAAACATTTCTTATGCCATGAGTAGATTACTGACTTTTAAGCTGCCTCTACTTGCTTCGTATACCTTCTCACAGAATGTCAGTCCCATATGCAGAATTTATTCAATGCAGCTCGGTTTTTTTCCCTTGCAAAATTTTCGGGAATTGTAGTTCCCAGTAACGCATTGGGATAAACCACAAACACTCTGTGCCTTAGCGTGTGCCTATGCCATAAAACACTAGAGATTCAGATAACACACACACTTTTACAGTGTTTATGTCATCAGCTACATGTAGAATGAATGTTTGAAACACAATAGAGCCACGCAGACAGGAAATTGTCACAGAAGATTAAGGAAAATATCCTACACAGAGACAGAAGTGCTATTGAAGCTTCATTTTACAGTACAAAAAAAGGAGAAAAACTAAAAGCAAAATGGTTGAAACGCTAGAGCCCTAGAGGAAAAGTCGTGTAAATATTGATGTCTGCTTTCCCTTAGGAATGTTTATTTTGTGTTGAATTGACAAGGGACTTTTTTGCTTGTATCAGGGAAACATAGTCTTCCTTTGTTGAACTAGCTCAGGACATAGAAAGAAACTGTTCTTCCTTCTCTATCTTTCTGAAAGGAGATCATAGTGCTCCGCCTTACAGCACACAAACAAAAAGCCCCAACAAATATTGATTGATAATGAAATGACCGTTAATTTTACTTTCAAAACCTGACAGAACAATTTAGCAGTCATAGGAATTAGGTATTTGATTTTTTTTCCTTCCTGGATTTAATGGAGTTTGTTTTTGTGGCTATAGTGTCATGCAAAGAGACAACAGAGAGTGTCTTTGGATGTGTTGTTAATGTGTAATGTGGCTTGGTAAAAATGCTGTAAATGTTTGATGAATGTATATCTAGTCATTTAAATAATGGAACAAGTTGACATTGAATGGATTTTAAAATAAAATGATTTTTAAATCCACCACATTTTGTTTGTTTGATTTGAAAAAGACAATAACAGTTTTTTAAGTTTTTTTAAACGTTTGATTACATTCACCCTTTTCCCCTCTATATTAGGTTTATACAGTACCATTGTGAGCTGAAAATGTCTAGAGTCAAACGTACTTTATTTTCAAAACACTAGTTATATTTAGACTTAACTATAAGCTGGTCACCTAGACCTGATGCAAGTTGCCATCTTTTGGTGTCATTTAAACCTGCAACTATAATGTATTTTCTTTGTAAAATTGAGTGAACAATAATGTGCACGTACTGCTTTTTGCTTTAATGTCCATGGACAGTAGAAATTATTGAAAAAAATATGAAGGTAGGGTAAGGCACAATAGCCTGCTCCCAAAAGCTGTGGGGGAATTTTTGTAAATACATTTATGTTTAGGAATACGCACCACTAAAATTACACTATCAACCAAAACTAAAATGAGCAGGCCCTATAGTATTACCTAGTCATAAAACCCTTTCTTGCAGGAAGACCACAAGTCCCGAAAACTAGTTTTAATACAAGATGCATTTACTACATCTCTTTAAATAATTTGTTTAGGTGGTGCTGACAATAGGCCTATACAACGAACGAACGAAGAAATTGATAATCTTTGGGCCCCTTAGCTGCTTTTAGGCCCTTGGAGATCTGCCCCAGCCCAGATAATGCATGGTTTTCATTTCACTGCATGCATACAGTATTTTAAGTACATGCATCCTTGTGTTTTCACTATGCTTCAGCACCCGTGCATTAGAGGCGCTATACTCAAAACAAACTCCTCGTGACTCTCAGCTCCTCCTCCGTGTTCTTGATACATTAGTCCAACATGGCAGCGTCCATGGCAGGAACCTGCCGTTATGTATCGCTGCATGGATCCTTTATTCTACTAAGGCGAACACGTCTTTACCTCACACTCAAATCTAAGTTTCACTGCACTTCCCCTGCACATAACGGGCTGCTATTTACTCTAAACAAACGCGGTATTCTGAAGAACTCTTTCCCAGAAGACGCAGCTCAGGACCGGCTTCCTCGACTGCTCCAGTCCGGGGCTCAGACTGTGTACTGCGGCTTTGACCCCACGGCCGACAGCCTCCATGTGGGCAACTTGCTCGCTATCATCGGCCTGCTGCACTTCCGCAGCGCCGGGCACCATGTCCTCGCTGTGCTCGGAGGGGCCACGGCACAAATCGGAGACCCAAGCGGGAAAACGAGCGAGAGGGAGCGGATGTCTGCGGAGGTTGTGGAGGAGAACACCAGCAGCATCCGGGAGAGTATCGAGAGTATTTTCACCAACCACGAAGTGCACTTTCAGGACAGATCCAAGAAGCTGGGCACGGTGACTGTATTAAATAACCTGCACTGGTACAAGGACTGGAGCGTGGTGGGCTTCCTGTCGGAGGCCGGGAGGCACCTCCGTATGGGCACCATGCTGAGCCGTCACAGCGTGCAGACCCGGCTGAAGAGCTCGGACGGGATGAGCCTCACGGAGTTCACCTACCAGATGTTCCAGGCTTATGATTTCCACCACCTCAACCAGATATACGGCTGCAAGATCCAGCTGGGGGGCTCCGACCAGCTGGGCAACTTGATGTCTGGACATGAGTACATTCGCAAGTAAAGGCCCCTTCCTAATTAAACAATAGTAAAAGTTATTGCAATGTCTCTGCTTTGAGTGCTCAGAGTAGGGCTGGGTAATAGCAAAATTGTCACGTTTTAGCGGTTACTATTGCTGCTTTTACAAAATATTTACACAATGAGAATTTTTATAAATAATCAGTAATGTGGCTTTATTGCCGAATTGGGTAAATAATTTTAAAAAGCTACTACAGCTATTACATTCAGAAACATACTCACTGTAAAGCAGCCTTTAAACCAAGAAAAATAAAACACTTTTCACAATATACAAAATCTAAGTCGATATCTGGGCTCATATTACTATATTTAATAATAATAATAATGCATTTTATTTATGGGCGCCTTTCAAAGCTCTCAAGGACACCTTACAGAGCATATTTAAAACAAGCAACAAAGAAGATCAAACAGAAATTCAAGACTTAAAAAACAAAGACTTAAAAACAACAATCAGTTTAGAAGAATTAAGATATTGAATACCCCAGTTTAAAAAGGTGGGTTTTCAGGCAGGATTTGAAGGTTGAGAGTGAGTCCATATTGCGGATGTCTTGTGGGAGAGAGCTCCAGAGACGGGGGGCAGAGTGGCTGAAGGCTCTTGACCCCATGGTGGTCAGGCGGGCAGAAGGTACAGTGAGTTGGAAGGCAGAGGAGGATCGGAGTGTAGATGTGAAGGGAGTTCAGAGAGATATGGAGGTGCAAGAGTGTGAAGGGCCTTGAAGGTGAGGAGCAACATTTTAAAATTGATGCGGTATTTAACGGGGAGCCAATGGAGTTGTTGAAGAACCGGAGTGATATGATCAATGGAAGTAGTTCTGGTAATGATACGGGCGGCTGAGTTTTGGACCAGTTGGTCCAAAATATTTGTATAATATAGATATATTGGCTAACCCTTGGTCAGGCCAGGAACTTATGAACCGAATGTGGTCTTTTGTTAATTAGAAACCATTTATGATTTCTAACTTCTGAACTAAATACAAATCTGTAAGATTCAATTTGGAGGCACTGAGCAGCTGGACAATTTGATGTAACATCTCACCAGGAAATCCTTTCTAACTATAGGCCAATGTTTTTGTCTTTGTTCGGCACAATTTATCACAATTGGATTGAAATCAAACAACATTTTGAAAACACAACATGATCATCACTGTTTGATTCCAGTCTGAAATGTGTTTTTTTTTCTCTGCAGAGTGAGCGGTGAGGAGGTGTACGGCCTGACCCTCCCTCTGGTGACCAGCACTGTGGGGGACAAGCTGGGGAAGACCGCCGGCAACGCAGTGTGGCTCAACAGAAACAAAACGTCTCCCTTCGAACTCTACCAGTTCTTAGTCAGGCAGCCAGACGCCATCGTGGAACAGTATGTGAAGATTAAGCCTGTTGCAAAGTGGTGGAAGGAGCAATATGTACCACAAAAGTGTACTTAAATACAGTACTTGGTTGTTTTGGCTTATGAATATTTTTGCTTTGTTATTGCAGTTACCTGAAGCTGTTCACCTTCCTGCCTCTGGCGGAGGTGGAGAGGGTGATGGAGCAGCAGAGAAAGGAACCAGAGAAACGCCTCGCACATAAACGTCTGGCCGCAGAGGTGACCAAACTGGTGCATGGGAAGGAAGGCCTCGAGAGTGCAAAGAGGTGAGAACACGCTATATGTGCTTTTCCTGTATTTGGTATTTAATGCTCTTTTATTTATGCTAGTTTCTACATTATAATATAATTCACTGCATTTTGCCATATATTGTCATATTTGTATTGTCCTAAGTGTTTTAGTTTTTTAGCTTTCAAGGTTCTTTGTTTATTTAAATATATTTAGTGTAAATACTTGTCTTTAGTATTCTCTTTTTTAATGCTAAATTGTTTCTTAAAAATACTTTTTTATTATCCTTATACATTTATTTTTTTACCTACTATCGCAACTTATTTTCTCAGATTGTTTATGTTCGCACAACCAGATACCAAATAAAATTCCTTGTATGTGTAAAGTACCTGGCAATAAACTTGATTCTGATTCTGATACATATTTTCTTTGAATTGGGTTTAAGGGAGCCAGCAACTCATTCAGTTTGAGAATAAAAGGGTATAACTGAAAATGATCTCCACTAAAGTCACTCTTCTGTGATTGCCTCTGACCTCCTTGCAGAGGGGGTAATCCTCAGACAAGAAAAGTGATATTGTATATTATTTTCCAGATGTACAAACGCGCTGTACCACAGCAGCGTGCAGGCTTTGGAGGAAATGAGTGACGAGGAGCTTCAGGAGCTCTTCAGGGAGGCTCCCTTCCACGAGCTGCTGTTGGAGCCGGGAACCACGGTCATAGACGCCTGTCGCAGCGTCAACGCCATCCCAGAGGGACCCAGAGGGTAGGTTGTCCTGTTTTAAATCAACAGTCCGAAAGCTATCTGATATCATAATCTGGAGCTTAAATCATCTCACAATATGTTGGGGTCAGCTCTGGTTGAGGAAAGCAACTATAGCACAGTGTTTTGTTAAAGGTCCAGTTTGTAGGATTAAGCTGCACTTAAGAGTGAGGGTTTCAGAAAGCAACCAACTAAACAACTTTCCCTTTCAAGCATGTAGAGAACTACAGAGGCGTTCTGTTCTGGAGTTAATTGCTTAACTCTATGATCAACAGTACCAACTACGATCTTTAAAAAAAATGTTGGCAACACAATTTCATCAATAGTCAAAATGCACCTTATTGTCTAAGACTATATAGTGGAATACTTTACTATGACTTTTTTTCAGCATGCTATTTTCAAACTAAATATATACAATTGATACATACATATATAAATGATGTGAAACAAAGAAGAGCATCACTTATTATCTAGCGTAAACTGTGCACTAACTGACTGTTTTAATTGTTTGTGTGCAGGTATCAAATGGTTTTGGCGGGAGCCGTGTCGATCAACCACATGCTAGCGGACAAACCAGAGCAGGTGCTGATCCCCAAACTCCATATCTTATCAAATGGACTTTCCTTGCTCAAAGTGGGCAACAAGAACTTCTACATCATCAAGTGGCTCAGTCTCTGAGGCCGTCACGCTGCTCTCACACAGGACCAGTTTGACCTTACCTTTGATGGACTGATTGGGAAGGTAGGCGACTCTACCTCTGCAAGATCAGTCATGATGTGGATGTATTCATATTTTGGGACATTCTTGTTTTTTTTTGGCTTAAACCTTGCGTTAGGCCAATTATTGTCATATAAATATGTATATGTACAGACATGTATCTAAAGCTATGGTATTAAAAAGCGTTTGATATAAAGATTGTGGCCTGCTGACTTTCTACTGCTGCTAAAGAGATTTTGGAAAGTGAACACTAGAGGGCAGCATTGTCCAAGTCATAATGGT